GTGCCGTGTTTTCAGAATGTAAATGGGATACTGAGAACAGGAGCCCCCTGGAGGGGGTAACTGAAGGTAACAAATCTGGTCTTTTCATAAAGATGTTTTTAATTCTCTTTCAGTCACTTGGGTGACCATGGCAATGGATAAGAGTAAGAACACATCTATCACATCAACTTGAATGAAAATTATTTAGGAAATTCAGTTCCAAATATCTTGATAATTCAGTCATTGCAGCCTTTTCAACTGAACTTTTTCACAAGACGAGCTGGTACTGAGCTAGCTAGTTCACTTCAAGGGTGTCCAAAAGAACATGTGTGAGCAGTGACTTGGCAGGATACAACAGTCAGCACAACTTTGGGTGGAGCAGCAGTAATAGCAAATTGACAGCTGGCTGGAGGAACTGGGCATTCACCTTATTGCCACTGAGTGTGGGGAGTGAAAGAAGTACCTGAATTACTTGAACAGGAAGGCCTAAGACGCCAACAGCTTGTTAAGGAAAGCCCCTGCCACTTTTCTGTTCTATAAGGAACTCAAACATATATTTTTCAAGTGCTTACGGTAATGACCAAATAGTTGCTCACCATGTGCTGTTGAATCCTTCCAGTCTCATCGTTAAGTGGGACAGTGACAAGAGCGATGATTTAGAAATATCAAGGATATCCCTCAAGACGCAAAAAGTCAAGGAAGAGGCCAAGCTGCAGAAGCCCATAAGGAGAATTTCAAAAATGGACTGGTGCATCAGCAAAGGCCAGTATTCCAAGCTGGAAAATTAAAAATGCAAGCCAGCACACCTTTCCAAAATATTCCCCCTCCCGTTGAAAGAGTAAGTCTACACTTTTAAAATGCAGGACATTTGAAATTATGTGCAATTATTTTTCTTCCCTCGATAATATGCCAGGCATTCCTCTGTGTTAGTGTGTGAGGAATAATGCCAAAGCCATGCCATTGTCACTACCCACCTTTATACCATACCACCTCCTCCATATTTCCCATCTTCCATAGAAATTTTGGAAGCTAAAAATCAGCATGCCACTGTGTCTGTCTCTTTCATGATTACCTAGCAGGCAGACAATGTCCTGAGAAAGCAGGGAGTGGGAAGTCTAATTGTGGAAGGGGCTCGAGGGAACGGACACAACAAGGCTGAGAAAGAAGTTTCTGGTGCAGCCATGGGACCATGTGGAGGCAGGGAAAGGGAATAAGGGAATTTGTGTGCAGCCATCTTGGTCTTGTTAACAAGAGAGCAAGAGTCAGGCTAAGTCTGTGGCCTGACAACGCGAGATCTGTAATTAGACGCTGCCTTTGCCTCTCGCCTCCATACGGAGATAAGGACAGAATGCTGACTCTGGCAGGGACCTTGAGATAAGGAGCATCTGGGTGGAACTAAATAACTGTTAGCCATTGGTGTTTGTAATGGGAAGGAGACTAATTGTTATTGTTATTATATCTAATAGACAGTATATAAACTGCTTCATAATTGCTTGTATTCGAAGATCTGCCTCGGGGAAGGGGGGGGGGGCTTCCCCCCTGTCCGAACCAGTTTTTCCCTTACTGCAGCTCGTAATAAAACTGCCTCTGGCTACTTGTTGCTTACAAACTCAGAGTGAGAACAATGTTTTCTTCCACAATTTGGTGCCATGACTCAGATGGCAACGCCCGATTGAAGACAGCGACAGTGGCTGCAGACCGTCTCCCTTCACCCCCATGGCGCCAAACGAAAGGTAAGAGACCTTTTGAAATCTCTACTGGGGTGTGGAGGAGGACTGCCTGTAGGGTCGCCTGCTTCTTGTGGGCTCACGCCATCCGAACTTCTTGAATCTGCAACAAGGTCAGACGCAAAACGGTTCCAGGGAGGTTATTTTGTTATCCCCGAGTAGGCCTAAGTTTATGCAGTGCTGGGAACTGCTGTGGTTTTGGTGGTGCCGCCCCTGGTACGGGAAGAAAATTGTATTGCGTCTGGACATAAGGCACCTGGGTTTATTCAGTGCTGGGAACTGCTGTGGTTCTGGGGGGAACAGTGTTGTTTGCCGCCCCAAATATGGATGAGGTCCATAAAGAGAGATGCATCTAAAAGTGGGAAAATTTCTGTGTGAAAAGCATGCTGAGTGTGAATGTAATGAGTGGAGTGTGAATGCCACTGCCCAGATCTCTGAAAAGTAAGCTGATTCCAGCCACACCAGGGCTCTCCCACAAGGGAGTTCTGAATGCAAGGGGGTCAGCCGAACCTCGAGACCGAGCAGATATGTGAGGGAGTGACGACTCCCCTTATTTCATGAGCTGCTGATAAGGTCTGACACTCTAGACCCAGCAGACCCCTTCTTTGGAGTGTGTAGATTTAGTTTCCTATAAGCCACTGAACGGACGGGGAGTGGACAGGATACTCCCCTGAATGACTAAAATGGATGGGGATCAGTCTAAGCATACCCCCCGGACTGCTGAAAGGGACCCCTGCATACTACATGTACGTGCATCATAGTCCAAGGACCTGTAAGCATTTGACAGATTGACAGAGAAAGAAATTAAAGCCCTGAGGGATGAGATTGAAGCTCAGAAAAGCAAAAATCCACCCTGCAGTGAGAAATGTAACTTACACGCAAGTGCACAGCCTCTCCCAAGCTTAGGGGGGAATTTGGCCCAACATTACCCCCTCTACTCCTCTCTATGCCCAGCCCTATATGGGCCCTTACCACACATTACTGAAGATAGAGAAGAGGCACAGAAGATAATTGAAAGGTATCAGATCTTCCCTTTGGAAGAACGGGTTCTAGCTACAAATCTGTCCGATCCAAAGCAAAACACTGAGTTTTGGAATAGACGTAACAGCTTGTGGGAAATATTCCTCCAAATTCTCAAGGAAGGAATGCCTGCCGACCATCAAGCCATACTGGCCCTAGGCATTTTGGTTGGAAACATATACACAGAACACAACGCAGGAGTAGGAAAGGGCTGCCAAGCAACTTTAGGAGATTCTCAAGCCCTTGTTAGCGAATAGATAACTACAGCCTCTCTGGCTGGAATCGCAGGCTACCCAAGGATGTTTCACAACGCACAAGTGGAGGCCGTCCAGAAAAAAAACAGTTAAAACCTTTCCCTCACACACTGTTATAATAGGCTTGAGGGCGTGGGAGGAGGTAACCTAAAAGTGAATTTGAAGATGTAATCACTAGAAGCTAAATCTGCCCTAACAAGGAGACACATTCTGCAAAATAAATCTCCTTACAGAGCATGGTCGAGTGATCCACCCCAGAGTCAGCAGCATAGATCAACCCTATACTGAGAAGTTTAAAATTAGTAATAGCTGACTGCAATAATACACATTTGGATTTACCTATTGAAAAGAATTAGGAGGTGTGGGGGCTAATGGGAAAGCCCATCCTCCTTACCAAATTAATACTGGATAAACCTGTGTCATTGAAAAAAAAAAGGTCATTTAGCAGGAATTAAGACGTATCGTAAGAAAAAGAATGTGAAAGGGGAAGGCAAAAGGTTTGGCCCTGAAACTTCACTGTGTCTCTGTTCAAGGCTGAGTTGATAACACTTTTGGCTTGCCTTCAAATCAAACATTATATGTGAATACAGGCTGCCTGGCTATTTCAAAGGAATATAAAACACCCGTCCCCTCAAGTAAATTGTCCAAATACAAACAAAATATTTATAAGCGCCCATTTAACAAAATTTAATGTCAATGTTATTATTACTATATTCTTAATAAGTAACACTGTATATGATTCTTTTCAGGAAAAGAAAAGCTTTTTGCTTGCTGGAACAATAACTAACCAACACCTTGTGCTAAGGAGAAGCATTATAGCTTCACACATTAAGCCTGATCTGTGGTACAAGAGGGAAACTGAGGCATGCCACTGTTGGGGAGGGCTAGCAACTCTAGAGGTAATTCGAGGGAGTGGAAGGTC